TGATCAGAAAAATTGGTTGATATGGTTTCAATTTTCTTAAATTTACCAAGGCCGTCTTGTTCCCCAGCATATGGTCAATCCTGTAGAATGTTCCATGTGCACTTGCATAATCTGCTATTTGGGATAGAGTGCTTTATAAATAGCAATTAAGTCCATCTGGTCTAATGTGTCATTTAAGGCCTGTGTTTCCTTATTAATTTTCTGTCTGGATGATCTGTCCATTGATGAAAGTGGGGTGTTAAATTCCCCCATTATTATTGTAGTTTTTAAAAAATTATTGTATTATTATCAATTTCTCCTTTTATGGTGGTTAGTATTTGCCTTACATATTAAGGTGTTCCTGTGTTTTTGGGTGCATATATAATTAGAATTGTTATATCTTCTTGGATTGTTCCTTTGATCATTATGTAGTGTCCTCCTCCTTTGTCTCTTGTAACAAGTCTTTGTTTTAAAGTCCATTTTGTCTGGTATAAGTATTGCTACTCAAGCTTTCTTTTGATTTCCATTTGTGTGGAATACCTTCTCCCATCCTCTTATTTTTAGTCCATATGTGTCCCTAGGTCTGAGGTGGATCTCCCATAGACAGCATATATATGGGTCTTATTTTGGAATCTACCCAACCAGTCTATGTCTTTTTGGTTGGTGCATTTCATGTATTTGTATTTTGATTAATGTAATCAATAATTGCATTAGTTATCAATATGTATGTTCCTATTACCATTTTTAAAATTGTTTTGAGTATGTTTTTGTAGGTCTTTTCCTTCTGTTGTGTTTCTTACATAAAGAAGTTCCTTTAGCATTTGTTATAAAGCTGGTTTGGTGGTGCTGAATTCTCTTAACTTTTGCTTGTCTGAAAAGTCTTTTTATTTCTCTGTCAAATCTGAATGAGAGCCTCACTGTGGAGAGTATTCTTGTTTGTAGGTTCTTCTCTTTCATCACTTTAAATATTTCGTGCCATTCCCTTCTAGCTTGCAGAATTTGTGTTGAGAAATCAGCCAAAAACCTTATGGGAGTTCCTGTGTATGTTACGTTATTTATCATTTTTCCCCTGTTGCTTTTAGTATTTTGTCTCTAGTTTTTGTCAGTTTGATTAGTGTGTGTCTCAGTGTTTTCCTCCTTGGGTTTATCCTTCCTGGGACTCTGTGCTTCCTGGACATGGTTGACTATTTCCTTTCCCATGTTGGGTAAGTTTTTAGCTATTATCTCTTCAAATGTTTTCTTGGGCCCTTTCACTCTTCTCCTCCTGGGACCCCTATAATGCAAATGTTGGTGTATTTAATGTTGTCCCAGAGGTCTCTTAGACTGTCTTCATTTCTTCTCATTCTTTTTCTACGTTTTGTTCCACAGCAGTGATTTTCACCATTCTGTCTTATAGGTCACTTATCCATTTTTCTGTCTCAGTTATCCTGTTACTGATTCCTTCCAGTGTATTATTCATCTCTGTTCATTTGTCCTGTAGTTTTTCTGGGTGTTTGTTAAATATTTCTTGCATCTTCTCCATTTCCTACCCCCTGGCCCCCGAGATCCTGGATCATCTTCAGTATCATTATTTTGAATTCTTTTTCTGGAAGGTTGCCTATCTTCACCTTTATTTAGCTATTTTTTCCCTGAGGTTTTATCTTGTTCCTTCATCTGGGACATAACCCTGTGCCTTTTAATTTTTGTTTAACTTTCTGTGATTGTGGTTTTCATTTTGAAGGCTGCAGAATTGTAGTTCTTCTCTCTATAAGTTAATTTTCAACAACTGTATTTAACAGCTAAATCACAAAATTCCTAAAAAAAAATTTTAACAATTGGCTGTTATTACTTAGCGCAAGCCAAATCCAGTATGGCATTATAGAGTAGTAGAACATGTTTCTCTGTTATTCATATTTTTAAAAAATTTTCTTAATTCTAATAGTGAGAGGCAGAGGTTTGATCAAATTCAGGTTCAACTTTTTGGTATGATTGTTGCAAAGTTTATGAAAGGCTGCTGCTTATCATTTCTTTTATCCATTGATTTATTAGGGCTGCAAATCAGTGATAGTCTAATTCTATCATTCTGTCTTTATTTAAATAGCTGGGATGATCTATAAAGAAAAACTTACCTAGAACTAGTTGATTACAGTGAGGTGTAAGTTTGTTAAGGAAATAAATGATAGTAAAAGAAATATTTTACTTTTGCTCATTTTCAGAATGAGTTGGATCCCTCATATCTTTCAAAGGTGCCAGTAACTTTTTTAAAATGTTGTTATGAACTTAGAGATTATCTGATGTGTTTCAGTCCACTGAGATTTTATGCTTATTGGTACTTATACTGATCCATTTTTTGACTGAAGGGAGCCTCTTCAAGTCAATCCTTGATCCTTTTGACACACATTCAGTAATCTTTGATAGCCTGCTTGCTTTCTGGCAAGACATGTTTATGACTCATCATCTATAGTTCAGGCCTTATACTGAGTCATTTTTCCAGGGAGCCAGAGTCCTTTAATAGAACATGGTATTTAGAATTGTATGGCATCACTTACATGTGGAATCTAAAATATGATACCAGTGAAATTATCTGTGAAACAGAAACAGACTCACAGACATAGAGAACAGACCTGTGGCCGCCAAGGGGGAGTGGGTGTTGGGGAAGAGTAGATGGGATGGAGTTTGGGATGAGTAGATACAAACTATTTTACATGGAATGGATAAATAACAAGGTTCTAATATATAGCACAGAGAATTCAATATCCTGTGACAAACCATAATGGAAAAGAATATGAAGAAGAGTGTATAACTATGTATAACTGAATCACTTTACTGTTCATTGTAAATTATCTGTACTTCCATAAAATAAACTTAAAAGATAGAATATGGTATTTAGAAACCACAATCTAGGCACTGGGGTTACTTACCACTACTAGATTTTTTTTTTTTTTTACTACTACTAGATTCTTAACTGTTTCTAGTATATTTAAGTGGATGAGCTGAGAAATACACATTACACTAACATTTTTAAGACAAAATATATTATGAGTTTATTCATTATTTTCATTTGAAATTTAGGAGTACAAGATTTTAGCTAAACTTCCTTACATTCGTTTTTCTTTTTCTTCCATGCATGCTGAAAATCCCAGTTTTCAGTAACATTGTACTATCATTTGCTACACACACGACAAATATTCATAACATTACCAACACTATCTTCAGTAACATGATTATTAAAAAGTTATATATAGAGATGAATAATCAAATTTATATTTCAAGGCATTTTAAATAGCTTTTTTCTGATGCTTTTTATTGCCAATGTGATAAACAATTAGGCTAATTTGACTAATCTTGCTTCCAAATTTTAGATATTGAATTTAAATGTTTTATAATTATACAAAATATTTACATGTTTCCAAAGTACAATCTGTTAAGACATGATACTTTCCAGTTAGCTTATATCCCTGTTCTTTCCCTGGTGTATGTTATAATTTTATTTTAAAAATCTGTATGTATATATATTTATATGTTGTATTCCTTAGGTGAGTGGAAACATATATTCTACCTTGCTGTTTTATCAGTATATCCAGGAGGTGCCCCATAGCAATATATGTATTTCTGATTCTTTTTTAGCTGCTTAGTATTCATGTTTGATGTCTGTAATTTTTCCACTAAGATCTTCTCCAGATGATTTTGGTGCATTTCCAATATTTGAGATTACAAAATTTAACGTCTTTTTATATTTTCGCCAGTGTATATTTGGGATATGTTTTTATTTTAAATACTTATTTATTTGTATGTGCTGGGTCTTAGTTGCTGCATGCCAGATCATTCATCTTCATCACAGCATGTGAACTCTTAGTTGCAACATGTAGGATCTAGTTTCCTGACCAGGGATTGAACCCCAGGCCACCAGCATAGGGAGTGTGGAGCCTTATCCTCTGGACCACCAGGGAAGTTGCTGGGATATATTTTCATATTAGTGTTTTTCCAAACATTTCATTGTGAAAATTTGCAAGCACACCTGTTCCTACCACCTAAACTGATACAGAATTTACGTATTGTGAAATGTACAAAAATGTTTACATTCATTGTTTTGACATTTGCACTTTTTTTAGTTGTGTCATTTATTTATATTGAGTTGTAAGAGTCCTTTTGGTATTCTAGATCTAAGTCCCTTATCAGATAAATGGTTTGCAAATATTTTCTCCCATTCTGTTGAGTTATCCTTTCACTTTCTTGATGGTGTCCTTCTGAAGCATGAAAGTTTTCAGTTTTGGTGATGTCCATTTTATTTACTTTTTCTTTTGATGCTTATGCTTTCAGTGTTGTATCTAAGAAGCCATTGCCTAATCCAAGGTTTATGCCTATATTTTCTTAAAAGAGTTTTATACTTTTAGCTCCTATACTTATGGTATGAGGTAGAAGTTCAACTTAATTGAAAGGAGAAAGAACTTTTCAACAACTGTTGCTGGGAAAACTTAATATCCACATGTAAAATAATGGTCTTTGTCACCCTGGTCAAAAAAATTAATTGCTCATAAATATGAGGGCTTATTTCTAGACATTAAATTTTGTTTCATTGTTCTGTATGTCTGTCTTTTTTAAGAATTCATGAATTTAAGGAGGACATTTATAAAAGAATGCATTTTTGACTCACTGTTTATAACCTCTGTTCATGGTTCTCTATGTATGTTTTGTCTCAATAGCTTTTCCCATTTGTTTCTACAGTTATCTCATTTTGTGTGTAATGCCATATGGGATGGGAATGCTTGGTGGTGAGTGTAATATTAATGTCACTGGAATGGTTATATTCCCATTTTTCAAAGACTGCTTTCAACATAGACAGGGAGTATCTTCAGTTGAGAGTGATGGCATAAAATTATGAAAATAAGGGAGCTTATGGTTCAAAGATTTTCTTACATTATTTAAATCTGAGACACAGTTCTGTGAAAGTACATTAAACTAATGGGTATGACTTCCTCTTTCAGAAAATAGGCATTTCAGACCCATCAAAAATTATTCTTTATGATTATACTTCTTTATAGAGTTCCTGAGTTGGAGGTAGAAGAAGAAACTCAAGTTCAAGAGATGACCCTAGATGAGTGGAAAAATCTTCAAGAACAGACCAGACCAAAGCCTGAATTTAACATCCGGAAACCTGAGTCTACTGTCCCTTCCAAAGCAGTGGTGATACACAAGTCTAAATATAGAGATGATGTAAGTATGATCTTTTATATCTAGAGGTAATCTTCATTGTTATCTTATTGAAAACGAAACGGAACGTTAGTAGTTGACATTCTAGTTTCAACCTTATAGTAATCAGATGTGTCTGTTTCAACCTAGGAGTAACCATGCATGCCTAATTTTACTATATTTTTATTAACTGAAAAAAAATTGACCCATTAAATACTTGATCCAAAGCAGTTATAGTGAGCACATTTTCTGCTCACTCCAGAACTGTGTGAAGACTGTGCTCATACTGTGTTTTAGTTGCATTTCAATTTTGTGTCAAAAGAGAGATCTAGAATGTTTCCCTGAATGATGCCGTTTCATAGGATAACTACTGGGCATTTTTGTGATTAGATTACCTTCAGTTATGATTCTTTCTTTTAAATTCAAGTATAGTTGATTTACAATATTTATATAGTTTCAGGTGTACAGAAAACTGATTCAATGTTACTTTTCACGGTTCTAATTCTTAATAGGCGTGTTTAACTGAAACTAGTTGATCACTTGAAACCAGTCAGAGTTGGGTGAATCCTTTCTTGTGATATTGCAGTAGCTTTGCTCCGTCTGCAGAAATTCACCAGAGGACCCCTGAAGCCCCATGACAGGCACTGCTAGCATGGCCAGCTATCCATTTGGGATTGCTAACACATTCTTAAGATCTGATTTTACATGGTTTGTGTTCACCTATTTATTGGCGGCTTCAGCTTTGAAAATATCTTCCAGCATATATTGATAAGGCTGGTCAGAGAGTTATTCAATCACATTCTATTTGAATTCCTAAACTTAAGGGAGGGTACACTGAAGCATTGTAATTTTAAAATTTAGAGTTAGTATCGTTCAGTCACAGCTATTTATCTTGATACCAGTCTCTGAGTCAGTGATGGTGGTGAGCACTCTTCCTCTCTGCTTGATGTTATTCATTGATTTTCCATTTGAAAATCAGGAGTCTTAAACTATGTAGATTTGTCTGTGTTCCCATTTACATTTTGGTTAGTTATATTCTTTTTATGAGTAGTTTCTCTAGGGGATCATTTATGATACTGGATTCCTTCCTATCTCCTCTTTCCATCAATCCAAACTCCGTGAGTCTATGTTTTGAGTTGTTCCTCTAGAAAAGGCTTTTTGTACACATACGATGCCAGAGCCTTTTACAAGTCTATCAGCTAGTTGGGTTGGGGTTTTTTTTTCCTATCCACTTTCTTCTCTTGTAAATAAAGTTTTGCCTAAAACAATTGTGCTGTCAGGATTTGAAATGTGCAGCTGACATGTTAAGTAAAAATAGAAGCTGTTCTTCTTAATCCACACCAGATTCATCTTCCCTGGCTTCTGAGAGAGGTCTCCTGGAATCTTGGAAGCAACTGGGTTGGCTGAGTCATTGAGCTTGGTCTCAGTAAGGCACACATCTTTGTTACTTATTAACCTTACAGCTTTGAAGATTTTAGCCAGGAATTGTTCTTAAAGAGACAGAAGCCAAATCTTGGTGTCGCTACTTTGTTCTGGATACCCTGAAGAGAACAAAAGCACTGGAATAATACCTCTTGTTTCCTTGGAGCTCTGTTCTTGGCAAAGTTAAGACCTAACAGTAGCCTATGAATAGAGCAGGCCCTTAAAGCACTTTGGCCTGACCGTTTGCTCACTCAACTTCTATTGCAAGCTGTGCCTTCTTACTGGAAGTCTGCTGTGTCTCTGTGGAGGTGCCTTGACAGCCAGTTGTTTTCTAAATCAGGCAGTAGTTTATTATTTTGCCTCTTACATTTTTTTGTATCTATCTTGTTACCAGAGTGCAAGTGTTCCTGAATTGTTCTTTCCTTCATCTTTTTAACTTCAAGAATACATCTGCCTAAGGACACAAATGTTAAACACGAAGCCTGGAATAAACATATGGCCAAAAGGGAAATGCGTGCTCTGGGAAATTTGATTCCATTTGCTGGACAAGCATATGGATATTTAACCATATAACACTTTGGAGATTCTCATCCACGATCATTGGCCTATTTTCTGCAGGTTTATATTTCTCTGTAGGTTTATATTTTACTTACAAGTGAAAGCTTTTGTTTCATCCATTGTTAGGAATTGAAACCAAATCAAATTTTTAGATTTATTAATACAGTTTTAACAAGAGACAGAACTAATCTGACCTCTTAATTCATGTGTCCATGGGATTCTCCCGGCAAGAATGCTGGAGTGGGTTGCCATTTCCTTCTCCGGGGGATTTTTCCAACCCAGAAATTGAACCTGGGTCTCCTGAATTGCAGGCAGGTTCTTTACCAGCTGAGCTACTACAAGGGAAGCCCCATACAATAAAATGTATATTTTCAAAGAATTTTAACTAAGGTGGTTTTTAAAAAGTAGCCTGAATTCTTTATTCAGCCTTGGAAGCAACCCTTAGATAATCATACTGTTGTGTTACTCGTTCCATATATTTTGAGTCAAAATTGTTTACTGTAAATCATCCAATTTTTAACATATGGTATTTGTACAGTCAGCACCCATGTTAAGAGCAGTTTCTCCATCAAGTTCTTTTCTAGGAAGGTGAATTTTCCTTATTTATCAAAGTAGCATTTGTGAACAAAAGAAAAGGCAGGAACTAAAACTTTTCAATCTCAGCAAAATATACTTAGATATGTAACATTTATAGAATTTCTGTTAGTCATGTTAAATCTTACATCTTAACCTACTAAACTGATAGAAATTTGGTCTGACTTGAAGTAAATTCAAAAATGCTTGATTTAAGACTATGAGACTACTATGTATAAAGTAGATAACTATTAAGAACCTACTATATAGTTTAGGGAACTCTATTCAATACTCTATGATGATCTGTATGGTGGTAGAATCTTAAAAGAGTGGATTTAGCATTTATATAGCCAGCTGGGGCTTTCCTGGTGGCTCAGCAGTACAGAATCCACCTGCACTGCAGGAGACACAGGTTCGATCCCTGGGTCAGGAAGATCCCCTGGAGAAGGACATGGCAATCCACTCCAGTATTCTTGCCTGGAGAATCCCAAGGACAGAGGAGCCTGGTGGGCTACAGTTCATTGAGTTGGAGTCAGACACGAGTTAGTGCCTGAACAACAGCAATAGCTGACTGACTTTGTTGTTACAGCAGAAACTAACCCAGCACTGTAAATCAGCTACTCCAATTAAATAAAAAAAAGAAGGCCTGTCAGTATGAGAACGTGTGGCTGCAAAATGTGCAAAACCCACGCAGCTGGAGGCAGAACAGCAGCATCATCTTCCCCTGTTCAGGCCAGTGAGTGTCCATGGAGATGGCCATGTGTATGTTCTGTGTTTGATGCTGTAACTGTGTTTCAGATGGTAAAGGATGACTATGAAGATGATGCCCACGTTTTCCGGAAAGCAGCCAATGACATCACGTCCCAGCTGGAGATTAATTTTGGTAACCTCCCTCGTCCCGGGCGTGGAGCCAGAGGTGGCACACGGGGAGGCCGGGGAAGGATCAGAAGGGCAGAAAACTATGAACCCAGAGCAGAAGTGGTGGTAAGTGTGTATATTCTAAATCCTGGTTTTTTGAAGCGAGAGGATGAAGATGCCCTGGGCCTATAGAGTTTAATTTTGGAGGATCATCAAGTTCTGCCTGATCTAGATAGAGGACGTTCTTTCTCCTCTGTCTAGTGTGGGTCTCATGTTAGAGTGTTTGGAATGGTCATCAGCATGATGGGCATCAGTTGGATACAGACCATTGTGTAGCCCTGGTCTCCAGGGAAGTCTGTCTGCTATGATTGTACGCTCAGAGCTGGAGAAAAATTCACACATGTGCATCAGATGAGGTCCCCAGGCTTGGTATTAAATTAGATCAACTGACAGCTGCTTACTATGGTGTAAGCAACCCTGTGCCATGATGCTCTCAGAGTAGACAGAATCCTTCCAACAGCTTCGAGGCGACCTTTTCACGTCAAACCATTCTTTGCCACCCTTCAGCCAGCACTGCTCTACTTCTGGGACAGACAACCTTGTTCCTTACTCCATGGGGCCTTTCTACCTGCTAGCCCTCCTCCCACCCCTTTGCCTGTTTACCTAGGATAGATCCTCTACCCTCCCTTCATCAGAGGAGGCTTTCGGACCAGGTCAGAGTCCTTCCTTTCTTTGAAGCACCATCTGCATTGGTAATTGTACTATCGCTGGTACAGTTGTTGAGCCGTATCTGCTGTCTCCAGAAGCCAGATTGGTTTCCCCAGTGCCTAGTATAATATAAGCTGTACTACACGCTTCATCAGTGTTTTGTGAACAGATATACCAATACCTGTTTAGTGGGAATCGGGCACAAGGTTCGGCGGCCCGCAGAGGCACCATGCTGTCCTTGTGAGAATGGGGCAGCCTCTTCTCTGTGGCTGGTCTTGGAAATGTTCCTTTTGCTGCCTGAGTCCCTGATTCCAGGGAGCAACCCCTGGGAGGGGTCTAACTTGTTATACTTCAGTAAGAACGAAACAAGTGTTTTTTCTGGGTAAACTTGAGGCCAGCTTGGAAAAAGGATCTCTTCTGGAAATAGAAAATATACGCCTGCCCCTTCCAATAGCAGCTGTGCCGCCGTGGTGCAGTGTGGCTATCTGGTGCAAGGGGCCCTGCCGCCCACCTGGGCTCTTCCAGCTCTGCCCCACCCTCAGGCCCCACCCCCTTCACAGTTGCATTGTGTCAGAATCCTGTTCTTTTTGCTCATTTATTGTGGTTATCTCCAGGAGAAGTTTCTCTGCTAGAAGACATCACTTAACTCTAACATGTGCATGGCCACCACATTGCACTGGACGCCCTGACTGTGGGCCTCCATTCATCCCCAGGCCATCTGTTACTGAAGTTACCGTATGCTCCTCCTGCAGGAGCTCTGTGAGCTCCTGAGGGTAGGACTGTCTTTAATCATCCTTGTATCTCCATGGAGCAAACATTCAGTCATGCTTATCAGATGAAGGAGGGGCTGGATAAAGGGTCCAGGTGGTAAAGAACCCACCTGCCAATGCAGGAGTCTGAAAGATCCCCTGGAGGGAGGGCATGGCAGTTCACTCTAGTATTCTTGCCTGGAGAATCCCATGGACAAAGGAGGCTGTTGGGCTATAGTCCATAGGGCTGCAGAGAGTCAGACACAACTGAAGTGACTTAGCATACATGCACGCAAGGTACAAATGAAGGGTCACAGTAAGGATTTGTGGGAGTGAGGGCCGGGGCAGGGCGTGGGGGAGGCAGGGTGGCAGGCACTGACAGCCACTCTGCAGCGGGGACAGAGCGGGTCAGAGGAGGGAGAAGCATGCTTCCGTGCCCCCCCCTGCAGGGTCTGAGCAGAGCTTGGCTGCAGCTCAGAGCAGGGCTTCGCCTAGGGTGACCCTGCCGCTCTTCTCTTCCCGCTGGGCCTCTCCCTCCCTCAGTGTCTGGGCCGCTCACCCCTACTGTTAGCTGCTCCCTGCGAGAGCAGGCACTGTGTCCGACACACTTCCGCACCCAAGTGGGGACGGGTGAACTGACAGTCGGTTTTAAAACTTCTCTTTTTTAGATACAAGATGTTGCTCCAAACCCGGATGACCCTGAAGACTTCCCTGCTCTGGCCTGAGACAGCCCAATTTCCCTGGCAACTTAAACAGCACTGGCATACCTATGAAGAGACTTCTTGCTGTGGGGAAGAGAGTCAGACTCTAAGAACAATAGATGTTGCTTTTTCCCGTGTAGTTTGAACTCATTGCACTCTTTTTGGTCTGGGTGGTTTGTGGGAACAGGGATTCCTCCAGACACTAGACAGCAGCAGTTCTGGCTGGGGGTTAGTCTGGTACTTTCCCAGGAAGGTAGATAACAGTGATTATTTTTTTATTTAATGAATTCCAAATGTAGTTCAGAAATAATGTTTAAAATTTGTACATAGAGATTGTATTGAATCCTCCACAGAAGCATGGAGAGTAAAGCAAGTTGTAAAATAGAATCTATTGAGACTACTTAGTAAGTTGTATAGATACCAGAAGGCTGTGTCCTTCAGTATTAGAGGAAATACATATAACTCTGCTATTAATTTAAAGCAGTCACAGCCTAGTTTTCAGAAACCAAGAAATGAAAATACAGTTATATTTACCATTTACTTGTAAATGTTATATTCTCCCAGAATTTTTTTGGTTTTTTTATTTAACCAATAATTTTAAATAGCTACTGTGCAGTCAGAGGTTACCACTCTGTGGCAGAGAATTAGGGAAAGTATTGGGGTTTTTCCTGGTGATTTAAACTACCTCGTGGTTTCTGTGTGTATGTAACACACACATACACACATGCTTAGTATAAATGTGCATATTTAGTGTTTGGGTGGTTTTTAGAATGAGTATTAAGTATATGATCTTTAAAATCATGTTATTTAAGCCACCAATCAAATGAAAAGGGGTCCAGGGAAAAGAGTGTTGCAGATTTTCTCCCTCAAAGCTAGTGTCAGAATTCAGCACCTGTGTACAAAAGGCTGTCTGTCCCTGTTCTGGGCATGACTTGTAAATAATACTGAACACCTATATGCAGTTTTTCTCACTCGGCCCTGCACCAGTTCGAGTTCCTCTTTCTTGCCTTTGGAGCATGTTAGGATTAGGGGTTTCCTTGGAGGTTCAAGGAAACCCCACTAATCCGCAGGGCTGAGACTGGGAGGCCCATGGCGGTTCAGCTAGCTGCCTGTGGGTAGTGCCGTGATGGTGGCTGGGGCGGAGGCAGCTGTTAACAGCCCTGGAAGCTGCGGTGACACTCTTCCCATTTTACCGAAGAAACTGGGTAACAGTCACAAACTTGTTACACAGTTGATATGTTTATGTTGGAATCTGAACCTTGGTCTCAGGATTTGTGCTTTTGTTTGCCTTGCTATACTGTCCAAGATGGCAGTTCTGAACTTGAACCCAAGTGTAAATAAAGGTTGGTATTCCCTCCTAACTTTGTGTATAGAGAGTTGAATCCTTATGGTGACACCCAGGTCAAGAGGGAAGAACATGGGGAAAGACCACAGTGGAGTCATTTCACATTTTGTTGAATAATCAGAGCTGAACCCTTAGTCACATTAAGCCAGTGTGGTTGACAGCCTACTTTTGGATTCTTGTTATTAATCTGAATATTAAAGTCATCATTTTATTCCCCCTCCCCAGAATAAGACAGTGAACGTGAGTACCCTAATCTGAGTTAAGAAGTCTTGTGAGAGTAAATGTCATGTTCAGCCATGATAGTCAGCTGGTGCAGGCTTGAGCTGTCACGTTAAGTCATTCTGCCTTGCCTTGGCTTTGAAGATTGGCAAAACAGACATCCCTTTCAAAATTCCCTTATTCCCTTTAGTGTCATGAATAACACTTGCAAAGCCCATTGTGCTAGATTTCATGTTGTATATGCAGACACTGCATCCTTCCCAAAGAGACTGAGGATTCCTGTACCACGGAGCAGCCTCAGATCTCATGGTCAGAAAAAGTTTAGTGAGGGGATAGGGGATGGTTTCTGGGCCTGCAGAGGTTTTCATTTGCTCACCAGGAATACCTCTCACCAATTTGGTGGGTCAGATGAATGTCAGGCTTTTGTCATATGACTGTCCACAGTCCAGCCCCAGAGAAGATAGGGCAGAGCATAGGGCAAGAGGAATCCATAATGTGATGTAGGGAAACTCAGGAGGCAGGATTGAGTTTGGAGCTATTCACAAGGCAAGGCCTTCCAGAGGAGTTTCCACCGCACAACTCCCTTGAGGTGATTTGGTATAGACATGTTGTCATGAGGCGGGACACGTTTCTGGCTGATAACTTTAATACTAAGCAAATTAACCACATCTAAGAAAACTTGTGAGCCTAACAAACCCTTTTAGAAATGGAGAGCAAGCATATTTGAATTCCCAAGGCAGGTGTGCCAGCCCCAAGCCTTCACCCAGGAGCTCACTGCAGGGGCTCCGGCTGCCAGAGCAGGAGCTAGAGATGAGCTGGTCCCTGGACCTGAAGCCAGGAGAGCCTCATCAGTAGAGAGGTGTGAACCCAGACAGGATGAGGGTTTGGTCCCTGCTTTGACCAGATGAAAACCTGACAATCTGGGAAGAAGCGGAGTCACTGCAAAAGCTGCTGCTGGCTGGGAACCTGGTGCTGGATGGTCTGAACGTCTAGCCAGGCTACTGTGAAAAATACATCTTTAGCCCAGTGTTACTGATGAACAGTTGACATTTTCATCTCATGCAAGGCTGGCCCCTCACAGAAGCCGTAGCAGGCACCCCATTTTCTAGTGCTGGGTTCTAGTGGATGCCCTGTCCTCCCCTATTCCCTGGCTCCTCCATGCCAGCCCAGGGCTTAGGCATTTCATGAATGACGGCATTGCTTCTCCTTTGAAACCACATGATGTGTGGTGTTGGCAAGTCCTAGGGAAGAGCAGGACCCAGGTCTCAGAAGCTGGGAAAGGTCAGCCCTTGAAGGGAAAACAGGACTGCTACCTACTAACCTATCCAGGAGAGAGCCACGCTGTCAAAAGAGGGTGGGGAGACCAGAGCATGAGCCCAGCAGGACAAGCAGAGGTTCATTTTGAGGAAAAAATGTGCCACTTTCCTTTTACTCTGCTGCTGTTGTCCTCAGCACCCAGAGAAGACAGGGCAGTCGGGATCACATTCCAGGATCCTGCCGCCTCACCTCCACATCCTCCCGACACTGGCCGGAAGTGAGGCGCTCGGGCAGCCAGCGACACTGCCCACAGCATGTCCCAGGTGTGGAGGCTGTTCGTATTTGTGTAATAAAGTGAGTGAGAAAGAAGAAAGCAAGTTATTGAAAAGAAATCTTTATTGGTAAATGCAACACAAAAGTGCAAAACTTTATTGTAACCACTAAAGTCAAGGAACCTATTTCTCCAGGAGGCTGTCCATGTGACCCTGCCCATCACAGCCTGCCCTCCTTCGGAAAGGAGTACTATCCTCACTTAGAGGAAGCACTGCCCAAGGAGGCAAACCTTAGCGATAAGGCTCTGCCCTTTACCTGAATGTCCTTTAAGTCTGAAGGGTCCCCCTCTACCTTTGTTGCAGAACCTGGGTAACATGAAGAAATGAGCATTTCTTGAGTAACTGCTGTGTGCTGTCTTATAATTGTCTCATGACTTGTCAGGGAACAGGAAGAGACATCCATCTTCCATGCTCCCTAGCTAGTATTTGGGCGGAATGGGATGAAAAGATGAAGGAGAAAGAAGACTCTGTCCCCAAGCTGTGTTCTTTCTACACACCCCTGAAATTTCCAGTTCATGTTACTAGTCCCTTGGGCTAAGCTGCTGAGAGGGTCAGGAAAGGCCAGAAGATACATGTGCCTCTGTGGGAGCCAGAGGACCACCTGGGGTATGCGCTGTGCTTAGCTATCCCTGGGGTGAGGTGGTGCCCACGGCAATGCCGCACTGTGACACATTCTCCTAAAAGCATCTGAAGTACTCTTAGAAAGCTTTGGGGCTTCCCAGGTGGGGCTAGGGGTAAAGAACCCGTCTGCCAGCGCAGGAGATGTAAGAGACGTGGGTTCCACCCGAGTCGGGAAGATCCCCTGGAGGAGGGCATGGCAACCCACTCCAGTATTCTTGCCTGGAGAATCCCATGGACAGAAGAGTCTGGCGGGCTATAGTCTATAGGGTCGCAAAGGGTTGGACATAACTGAAGCAACTTAGCACGCATGTAGAAAGCTTTAATAGGTCTCCTGCACAGGTGGTGATGGCAAGTCATGGGAGGGCACGAGACTAGGTTCAAGGCTGCTGGCACGATGCTGGCGGAGACAGGGGCAGAAGCTTGGCTCTCCCAGAGGCCTCATGGAGCCTAAAGTCCTAAGTGCTCCAGGAGCCTCTGCTGGCCCAGGCCACCTCTGCCCATCTCCTGTTGCTCTGGGAGAGCCTTTTCCTTGGCCATAGGTTTCCCAGGATCCAAGGCAGTAGGACTTTCCCCAACCAAACCACAAATGCTTTCTAAACTATCACAGCTTCACCACGCGTGAAACTGGCCCCATAGTGTGGGGAGAGCACCAACTGCCTTGTTTCTTTGCAAAAATGTGGCCCCATTTCAGAAGGCTGACTTGCGAGCATCGTTGGGGAACACCTATCATGAGAATAGAGTGGTATCAATTTACACATAGGAAAAGGCCAGCTCTCATTCCAATCCCAAAGAAAGATAATGCCAAAGAATGCTCAAACTACCGCACAACTGCACTCATCTCACATGCTAGCAAAGTAATGCTCAAAATTCTCCAAGCTAGGCTTCAACAGTACATGAACCGAGAACATCCAGATGTTCAAGCTGGATTCAGAGAAGGCAGGGGAACCAGAGATCAAACTGCCAACATCCACTGGATCATAGGAAAAGCAAGAGAATTCCAGAAAAACATCTGCTTCATTGACTAAGCTAAAGCCTTTGATTGTGAGGATCACAACAAACTGGAAATTCTTAAAGAGATGGGAATACCAGGCCACCTGACCTGCCTCCTGACCTGCCTCCTGAGAAACCTGGATGCAGGTCAAGAAGCAATAGTTAAAACCGGACATGGAACAATGGACTGGTTTCAAATTGGGAAAGGAGTATGTCAAGGCTGTATGTTGTCACCTTGCTTATTTAACTTATATGCAGAGTACATCACGAGAAATGCTGGGCTGGATGAAGCACTAGCTGGAATCAAGACTGCAGGGAGAAATATCAATAACCTCAGATATGCAGATGACACCCCCCTTATGGCAGAAAGTGAAAAAGAACTAAAGAGCCTCTTGATGAAAGTGAAAGAGGAGAATGAGAAAGCTGGCTTAAAACTCAACATTCAGAAAACTAAGATCATGGCATCTGGTCCCATCACTTCATGGCAAATAGATGGGGAAACAATGGAAACAGTGACAGACTTTATTTTCTTGGGCTCCAAAGTCACTGCAGATGGTGACTGCAGCCACGAAAATAAAAGACTCCTTGGAAGAAAAGCTATGACAAACTTAGCATATTGAGAAGCAGAGACATTACTTTGCCAACAAAGCTCTGTATAGTCAAAGCTATGGTTTTTTTCCAGTAGTCATGTATGGATATAAGAGTTGGACCATAAAGAAGGCTGAGTGTCAAAGAATTGATGCTTTTGAACTGTGGTGTTGGAGAAGACTCTTGAGAGTCTCTTGGACTGCAGGGAGATCCAACCAGTCCATCCTAAAGTAAATCAGTCTTGAATATTTGTTGGAGGGACTGGTGCTGAAGCTGAAATTCCAATACTTTGGCCACCTGATATGAAGAACTAACTCACTGGAAAAGACCCTGATGGTGGGAAAGATAGAAGGCAAAAGGAGAAGGCGATGACAGAGGATGAGATGGTTGGATGGCATCACCGACTCGATGGACATGAGTTTGAGCAGGCTCCCAGAGATGGTGAAGGACAGGGAAGCCTGGTGTGCTGCTGTCCCATGGCGTCACAAAGAGTCGGACATGACTGAGCAACTGAACTGAACTTCCACATAAGTCCCTCGGGTTTCTGAGAGTTCTCGAAAAAGAGGAAGAGTATTTTCTCCAGCATAGCCACCCTGCCAGAGGCACCGAGGATAGCTCCAGTCAGGGGTGTACACAACCCAGCCCCAGGGGACCTCACTCACCTTGATGAACCACCTGCATAGATGTGCTGGTGGCTCTGGTCTGCACTTCACCCACCCCCTCAGATAGGAGAGCAGCATTAGAGCAACCGAGAGGAAGACAATATGCCTGAGGTAAGTCCTACATTCTTGGCAGCGCAAAACGATCAGAAGGAGAGTGTTCTGGTGAGAAGGGAAAGTGAGAGTGAAAGTGAGCGGGGCGGCCAAAGGAACGTTCAGTGAGAGGGGTAGGATGCTGGGGAGAAAGGATGCAGGAGAAATGCGGAGGCCCGGTGGCCCAGCAAAGAGCGTGGAAACCCAGGGTCCTGTGACTAGGGTGGGAAGACCTCCTTCCGCGATTGTCACCGAGGATCCCGAAGGCCCAGAACAGGGCTTGGAGTGACTGGAGAACAGGTTTCTTCAGGGCACACGCCTAGGCGGTTCCCTTCAGTGCACCTGTGTGACTGGCACCCTTGCAGTTGGATGACGCTCAGCCAGTGAGGCCATGGAGGGCTTGTCTACGAAGTCTTCAAAATCTTGTGTTTGAGGGAGACGGAGGAATCCACTCCCATCAGGTAGTCACAAGGAGTCTTATATTAGACTCCTATCTACTTGGAATTGCACCACTACCTCAGAGGGGGTGCCAGCCTGGTCCTGTTCCCAACCCAGCCATCCAGGTAGCCTACAGAAAGTCCCAGCTCTGGCTTTGGGCTGAGATCTCAATACCCAGGGGAAGAATGAGACAAAAACTCCTATGCTACGAGGCTGAGGCGTGGGCCTGAGGAAACAGGTTTAAATTGCATATTGAGAAAATTTCCGATGGTAAGCGCTGTGCTGTCCAGGGGAGACCTCTGGAGATCTAGTCCCTGTGGATCCCGAGCCAGATTAAAAGTCGGTCTAGAAAGGTCACAGCCCAGGACATCCAACCATCACTAGAAAAGCGGGGGGGGGGAGGAGAGACAGATGGAGTTGTGTTTACACCACCAGAACCTGTCTTAGAGGGTAACGACACTATAGGGACTGGTTTAATTTGCTGGCTGGAGAAAAGGCCCCAAGTTTCATGCTGTTTAAAAGTGGACAAATATGGGGCTGGCCAGACAGAAACACTCTGAAAGGCAGGAGTGAGCTAGTCATCATGTCCCCGTCCCCACTCCTGTCTGCCAAAGATGAATGAATACTCAACTGCTACTTGAGGATATGCCAATCACTGGTCTGCCTAGGGTACTCCTGTGTCACAACAGACCCCTCATGCTTAGGGATGGAGAACACAGGATGGGCAACCTCCCTGTGGCTGCTACACTGACACTCCAGGGCCAGGCAGGAAGGCCGGACGAAAGTCCAAGTCCCCCACTCTCTTGAGAATGAGCCTTGTTCTCAGGGTCAGCCCCCGCTGCCTCCTATTTTAATGAAAGCTTTCCTTCGTGCCCTTCCTCTGCCAGCTGGGGCTTGGACCAGAGTTAAACAAGGTGAGCACAATATTCACTTTACAGTCTATTGCTGTTTCCGTGACATCGCCCAGTAAAGCTGTATTTGAACCTACTCAGCAGTTCCCAACTGGGGGCGGTACTGCCTGCTGAAAGTGGCTGAAAATGTGTATTGGGAGAGGCGGGGGCGGGGGTTGGGTAACCCAGTGGGTGGGAACACCACTGGCATTTAGTAGGAGGGGCAGGTGGGGGAGGTTTGCAAGGAATGCCAGACTGGCTGCATTCTCTGGAGTTCTACACAAGGAAGAACTGTCTGCCTGAAAAGTCATCTTGTTTTACATGGAGAAGCAAACCCACCCTGAGAACCACTGTCTTTCTCAAAATAAAACAATGCACAAATGCTACTACCTCCCCCTTTCCTCCTATCCCCACCCAAAGCCTCTCCTCATTTAAACGGATGATATAAGAATCAGAGGGGCCGCAGCCAGGGTCCCGCCCTGCAGGAGGCCTCCTTACCTGGGCATCTCAGTATGGATAGAGCACCCGTCATCCAGAAGCGTGTCAAAGCCATGCAGACTTGCTAGCAAAGAAATGAGACACAGTTGAGACAAGGCAGAGACCAGACGTGCATCAGGCGCAGGGAGGAGGGATTTCCACTCCACGTGGACTGGGCCAGGCTCCCCACTGAGGTTATATCCCACTGTGGGATAACCCCACTGGGGTTATCTATTGAGAGGAATCTGAACGGGTTTCCCAGAGTCCGTATGCTCCTCCAGTAAGTGAGAAGATGGTGAGACTATACACAATAAAGGAGTATATTACGCTAACCACTTAGAAGACAAAATGCCCCAAATCTGAATAATGGGGCAGCTCAAAAACTGGACTATGTATAGCAGGGAGGGATGGTGACTACAACCCATGGCTCTGGGGGCAGTGATGTCCTGTTAGTGAGCCAGCTCAGCAGTGTCACAACAGCAGCTGCCAATGAGGTGCAGAGGGAGTTCAGGACTGTATGTGTGATGGTTCTTTTGAAAAGCATTAAGCCAACATTCTAATTTTTTAATTAAACATAATATCCACGGCTCTCAGTATGTACCAGGTGCTTGTTCTCAGTAATTAACAAATGTTAAATCCTTATACAACCATATATTTTAATTTTTTAATTAAACATAATATATATGGCTCTTAGTATGTACCAGGTGCTCGTTCTAAGTAATTAACAAATATTAAATCCTCAAACAACCTTATTAGATATTGTCATTCTGGCCCAAATCACACAGCTAATAAGCAGCAGAGCAAAGGTTTACACCCAGTCTGGGTCCATAATCCATGCTCTGAACTATTATTAACCAAACTGCTTTTCGATGCAGTGTACATCAAAAGCTTTAAAATTTTGTATGTCCCTGACCTAGAAATGCCTTTTAAAAGAATTTAACCTAAGGAAATAGGCAGCACCACCCAGGAAGAATTTACGTATGAGAATATTCATGCAGTGATGAAACAGTAAAATGATGGAAACTGCCTACATGAGCAACAATGGGGAGAGGATGATTACTTAAGTCACGGCATATTACAGAGAAGTTTTTGGAGATCCTCCACTACACTTGCCTCTCAATGTACCCCCAGCTGCACTTAAGACCCAAAAGTGGAGGAAAAGAAAGCAATGGTGGGTATTATGCTCCACACTGGCACCAGGCCCCATACTAAGGCATAATCA